GTGACGTCATCAAATGTCTTGTTTTGTTCAACCAAATAGTCCAGAACCCAAAGATGTTTAGTTTACAACATAATACAGAGAAAACCTGAAACCACCGAATATTTGTCTTTTTTCACCATTTTTGCTTAAAAAAAACAAAACATTTTTTCTGTCTCTCGTCTAATTGATTCATGGTTGCAACTCCTAAACCAATTACTTTCATTGTCGATTAAGCTGCTGACAATTTTCTCAATTAATTATTTGGTCAATAAATCAGCATCATTTCAGATAAGATATTTAAATCAACATGATAGAAGATTGGAATCTGGAACCAGTGAAGTATTGGCATTATTGATAAAAACAAACTTTAGAGATGAATTGATTCTCAAAAGTATCAGTTTACCATTGCTTTTCTGTTGTTTCATCTCTATAATTTAAATATGAATAAAACGCATGTCTTTCTCTCTCCAGTCAGTGGGAGGACCTTTGCCTTCTTCGACCGTTCAGTCACAGATGAGCCGTTGGATCTGAGTGACATTTTTGCAGAAGACAACGTTGCCGAATCGAACCGCTCTAGAAGTAGCCGGCAGCGTAACACGACCGTCTCCGTCCGGCCGGAAATCTCCGAGGAGGCTCTGCAGTTCCTAAAGGGCCCGGTGTCCACCGTCCTCATCCCTTCCTTCTACGCGCTGGTCTGCCTCGTCAGCGTGCCCGTCAACCTCTGCGCAGTTGTGGCCTTCACTCGAAGGATCCGGCCCAAGAAGGCGGCGGCCATCTACATGCTGAACCTGGCCTCCGCCGACCTGCTCTTCGCCTTGCTGCTCCCCTTCAAGATCTCCTACCACTTCGGTGGCAACAACTGGATATTCGGGCCGTTCATGTGCCGTGTGGTCACCGCGGCGTTCTACTGGAACATGTACTGCTCTGTCCTCCTCATTGCTTGCATCAGCGTGGACCGGCTCCTCGCCGTGGTCTACCCAATCGACTCCCTGGCTTGGAGAAGGCCCCGCAACGCTAACATAGCCTGCGTGGCCATGTGGATGCTGTCCTTCGCCGGCTCGGTGCCCCTCGTCATCTCCGACCAGACCTTCCACCTCAAAGAGTTGGACATCACCACCTGCCACGATGTCCAGCGCGCCGACGAACTGATCCAGCACCACAAGGTGTACTTCGTCGCCCTCTGCATCGCCCTCTTCTTCCTGCCTCTGCTCGTCACCGTGGCGTCCTACGCTCGGGTGATCTGGTCGCTGAGCAGAGTCCCGCGCGGCTTCCCGGGAAGCTCCCGCAGGAGAACGAGAGCGACGGTGATGGTTCTGACCGTGCTGGTGATGTTCGTGCTGTGTTTTACGCCCACAAACTGTCTGCTCCTGGCGCACTACCTGCAGTTCGACGAGGGAGTGAAGAGCAGCCGGGAGGCCCCCGACGGCTCCTACGCGGCCTATCTGGTGTTTCTGTGCGTGGGGAGTCTCAACTGCCTCCTGGATCCTCTGGTCTACTACTTTGGGTCCTCCCAGTGCCAGAGACAGCTGTCCAGCGCGCTGAGGTGTCAGAAGGTCACAGAGGGCAGCGGCCATTCAGCGTCTAACTCGAGCAGATCCAGCAGCAGAACAATTCTCAAATCCAGCCGTGCAGAGAGCTCCAAAATAAACGCTCCGGTCACCAAGATGGACTCTTTCCAAGCGAACCTCAGCAGCCAATACAATAAGCTGCTGGTCTGAGAGGATGAACTGACTCCTACCTGTGATTTTACAGTTATGAAACGGTGGAAATATTTTATTATGAAGTTCAAGTAACGGCAAAATGAAGAGCTCAAAGTGAATCTGTAGTGTGTTTTTCTTTCAGAAACCGACTGATGTCCTGCCAACAGATATAACTTGGTTTCATGCAACACGTGTGCAATGACAGAAGAGCCTTTTGAGAAGAAGGAAGTTGAGATTAGATAAAGTCCTTTCTAGAATCCTGCTGAACAGTTGATACTTTTAAATGCTTTTTATTTGTACACTGTAGAAGTATAAGAGCTTATAAACTGCAAGTAAATCTGTAAGTATTACATTTAATGGAAGCAAACTTGCTGTTTTGTGGTGTTTTTGTTTTTTTCTCCATTTTTGGTCTCTGAATAAATCTGTTATCATATCATTGTGATGTGTTTTAAAGATGAACAGGTCTGTTTC